ACGAACTTCTTGAACTTCGAGTCTGGATCGTACCAAAGAAAAAAAAAGATTAAGGAATCTAGAGCACATGCCGTTAGTATTTCGGAGTTCGTTTAGAATAAATGAATTTTGAAAAACTTTACGAAGTAATTTTTATTTCTGCTTAGCTTTCCTTTAAATATTTGGGAATGGGAAACATTAGGATACTTATATGAAATTCAATTTTTTATTTCTGCTTAGCTTTCCTTTAAATATTTTTGGCCCCTTGTCTGCTCCCTTTACCATTGATTATCGACTGTTCTGTCTCCTGATGTTGAATTGTACTGGTTATTCTTGGGTCCCACTCCCACTGATGCTGTTACCTACAATAGTTCTTAAACATGGTTATTAGGCATAAGGGATGTAGATAAATCTGTCTGAGGACAATAAACGCTGAATGGACATGTTGCTATATATTCAGCTCAACATTTATTATACAAGTATGTATTTGACTTAAGATTTAACTAAATTACAGGCTGAACATGGGATCAATTGCTTGGAGCTTCCCCTTATTCAGCATACACAAGAACCTGACTTGATAGTCTTGCTTCTGTTTTAAGTGGTAAGTTTGAGAAGTTCATGCTTAATATTGATAGTTGTGCCTAGTTAGTACAGTGGATGGATTTTCAGTGAATTTACATGGATCATGGATGATCGACATTCTCTTTTCGGAAATCTAAGTCTAGTTAGTTTTAGGATGATGATCTCCTTTTATGCTTGCAAGATATAATAAACAAGTTTAAATTCATTGTCTGCTAAGCTGTTGCTTGTCAAGCTTGTTGGCTTGTAAACAAAGACCATGATATTTGAGATTTCTCAATCTCAGCTTGATTGTACTACTTCACTTGTCAACTTGTAGAATATCTTGGGAATGGTTATATGTTAATTTCCAAGAATAATATGATTGTAATCAATGCACCTAAGAACATTTGGTGCAAGTAATTTTTTATTGTGTTGTTTTTGTTTTATAATATTCTTCTATTGTGGCAGCAGAAACTACTTTTGACTGGATTGTCATAACTTCACCTGAAGCTGGTTCGGTCTTTCTTGAGGCATGGAAGTAATGGTTAGAGCTTGCAAGCAAGAAACTATCTACTTTTATGAGAATTTCTTGATGTGCATTAGGAATCTTTAGTGCTTAAATGAAGAGTCATGTTTTTGCTTCATGTCTCTCAAGTTTCTTCTGTATTACTCTTCGTTCTTTCTACTATGTATTAGTTATCTTAGCCATGCAATTCATACTTTTATTAGCAATGTCTAAAAGTTATAAATTTGTGTGTTTTACTTGTGGGTGTGTGTAAAGGACATTTATTTATGGCTGTAATTGCAGTTTTTTCTCCTTTGATTTGCATTTAATTAACTGTTTTTTTAACTTGGATGCATGGGTTTAATTTGTTTCTTTAGGGCAGCGGGAACCCCAATTGTTAGGATAGGTGTCGTTGGAGCTGGTACAGCAAGTATTTTTAAGAATCTAAAGCAATATCTTGATGTTGCGTTTGCACCATCAAAAGGTACTGATCTTTCTCCACATAACTCTATTTATGTGTCATCTTTGTTAGTGTTTGTGTCTGGGCCTTTTTTATATGTTAATGAATGTATTTTGAGGAAAATTAATGTTACGGGTACTTTGCATGGATTCTTCTAACTAATAAATACAACACATGGCATGATTTTTTTGTTCTATTTATTTCAGTGCATTTAGGAGTTTGTATCATTTTTAGTTTAGAGTAGATCTGAATGTCTATAATTGCTCCTCATTCTGTGAGATATTTCTCCTACATTAGCTTGTTGGTGCTGCAAGAACATTATCTACCCCTTCTTTTGTGTGACTGACATGTATTGTACAATTGAAATCATGATGCTAATTGCACTCTATCATGTTTTTAAATTCCACTCATCAACAACAGGCAAAGTTTTGGCTTCTGAGCTTCCAAAGGATGGCGATAAGAGGTGCACTGTCTTATATCCAGCTTCAGTGAAGGCTAGCAATGAGATTGGTATGATAATTGTTGTAGTTTTCTGATTTCATTTTCTCTTTTTTTTTTTTTGGGGGGGGGGGGGGAGTTTTGGCCCTTGCTGATTTTGAGAACTTTTTTGATTTGTTCTTTGGGAATATCTTCCATCTCTCTGATGCATTAACATCTTAACAGAGGATTTCAAGCAAAATAAAATGAACATATCAGTAAATTAATTAGATGCAGTTGATTTGATGTTTATAGATGTAAGAATCACTTGTGATTAGGGCATGCCATAATGAGTAGTCGTACTTTTCATTGAAAATGAGAGCCTCAAGTTTAATCTGTTAAACCATAAATTCTAAAAATCAAAAACAGAAGGGGAGAAGGAAATGTAACCTGAGGCTGGAGGGAAAACAAAGAGTTCTAAGTTTGAAAAAAATTCCCTTAGGTTGAATCGGTTTAAAGCCACAACCCCCACGTTACAAAGAAATCTATTATTTATTAACTAATTCAAATTAAGTTGTGGTGGCATCCTTTACGATAAAACATTTAGCAACCTCAAAAGTCCAGTTTTTCTTTTTCCTTTTGTTCTTCCCTACTATTTGGGTATTAATTACATGAAACTATTATTTTTCTTTTGTTTTCCCCTTGCTGAACTTTTTCTTACATTTACTGTATTCAGTATCTTGCTTGAGTTTAATTATTATACTAGGAAATAGTGAGAACGTATCCTGACCACTGGTTTTGGATATCTATTGCAGAAGAAGGCTTGGTTTTGGATATCTATTGCAGAAGAAGGCTTGTCTCATCGTGGATTTCAGGTTATTAGGCTAAATACATACACAACTGTGAGTATCTTTGTATTGGTATTTTTTAGTTTCAGTTTCCTCTTCATTAATGTTTTACATTTTTTTTCTCCTTATCTACCTCATCTGAATTTGAATTATCCTTTGTTTTTTTAGCTTACATAGAAACAAAATAATGCCCGCAAAGTATCCATTGTAATGTTGAAGCAACATATCAGCATAATCCAAAAAATCATTTTATAAGGACTGGGCAACTCCATGGATGCATGAGATGTTTAGAAGAATTAATTATACACTAGATGCATGAGATATTTAGATGAATAACTATCTCCTGCAGAATGCTGTTGGAGTCTGTTGACATCCCATGATGGTCTTAGGGATTGTGGGGTGCAGATTAATACTGAAGAAAAAAAAATATGATAAGTTTGTTATCTTTCTTGGTTCTGAGGGATGCAAGATTTATTCATGATTCAAGATAGTAGCTTGTAATCAAAGACAATTTACGACTGTCTATTGACCATGCTGTATTAGTTCTTGATGTTCATTCATTTTTTCAGGTATCTGTTTATCATGTTGACCAAGTTGTCTTGGAGAAGGCCCTATCTGCCCCAGTTGTTACTGTTGCTTCACCTTATGCAGTTCGGTATGTAGTTGATCCTTTTCCCAGAACCTGTAGACTGTCTTGAATATTTTTACATTTGTTAATCTGTTGTAGAGGACTTTGTTCTATTGAGCTTACCTTCGGCAAGCGCATTATCCATCCCGTAGGCTTGTTGCTTCATATAATTGGAACTATCATGGTAGGTGGACCTTGATTGACACCCTTTAATATGGATGACTTGTGCCTGCTCCGGCTGCCTGGTTTGCAAAGTTCTTTGTCAGGACAATTCTTATTTACTTACTGTAAACTTAGTTTGTGCACCTCTATTGCTGCAGAGCCTGGGTCAATCTTATTTGAGAACCTGATTCTTGGAGCAATGCTGTTGCCTGTATTGGGGAGACAACTGGTTATGCTGGAAAAAGATTACGATTGAGGAATGTGTATTTCCCAATGCAGCCTGGACTTGATGGGTAAACCCCCCCCCCCCAACACACATATACCTTTCTCTGTCAAAATTTTGTGCATGATGTTTCAGTATTAGTGTTTATTGCAGCTAATTATTATGGGTAACCTTAGGTGACGGTAGGTTGAGTTTGAATTCCAACGACGTTGAAGTAACCGGTTGTTTTTTGCTTCAATAGCCAAAACTCTGCCAGCAAACTTTTGAGTATTGAGCAAAGTTCTCTTTGAGCTGAGCTTCCTTGACTTGGCAAAAACGATCTTTCCGGTTTCTTCTATTATGTTCACTTTTTCTCTCTTTAATGAACCTTTTTAATCATTATTACTTATATAACTGAAAGCTGTTTTGGGTTTGACTAAATTAAAGAAACTGATTTCTTGGATTTACATGGATTAGCAGCTGGGTTGGTAGCATCCTTGAAGCCTTAAGTGCTCATGACAGTTTTTAGGATTGAAATATATTAAGGTACCCATTTTTCCTCTTTTCTCTAGTTGTTCCTGGAAGTAATCTCATACTTTCTCATAGAATAAATGAGTTGTTCTATTAGGTCCCTGTGGAAGCTTTGATGCAGAGTGAAGCAGGTGCAGAACCGCAAGGATTTTTAGTTCTGTGAAGCACAGGCCATGGTAAGTAAAGAAAGATATGCCACGTTAAAGGGTTTGAACTTGTAGAAAGTTAGCATTTTGAAGGTAGATATCCATTTGGAGGATGCAGCACGGCCTTTCAATGTCAGTCAGAGGCTATTCAATTGACATTATCAGAAGCTGTACATGCATTTTCTCATTGTAACTCCGTTCTTTTTACTCAATGTCGGCTGTGTTGAAATTGAACTGGGGGCACTTGCACTCCATGAAATCTGATATGTAGTTAAGTGACTTTATCAATTGAACTTGTAATCATAGTTGCCGTGCCTTGTTTTGCCGCATGGCATTTTGTGTAAAATCCTTGTCTAAAATTGCAACGTTTATGTTTATACGGAAATGTTTTAATTGTTGTTGTCAAACCTTGGCTTATTACAAATTTGATGTCCTGATAAGATCAATACCGAGTTTGGGCTTGTGAGGGACGAATTCCTTCAAATTTATCAAGTTGCAATAGAGAGGTTTTGACACTCATTATGTGAGATCTATACGCTTTTGGCCTAATTTGTGCATGGATGATGCACTACAATGATTTTATCTTTCTTAGTTGCCAAAGATAGAATCATAACAATACGTTTCCATACATTTTTTAACTTTTAAAGAAACTCCATATGCAGAGAAGTGGTTCAGTTTCTTTGGCGTCCATTTTATCAATATGCCTTCCCTTACATGAAATTATATAGAGAGCATTCAGCTTGCCAATAAATTTCAGGAATTTCAGAATAAGATGATATCTATGCTAAAGTACCCATACCTTGAGGGTTCCTAATGGGTTCTTTTAAGACGGAGGACGGCCTGGAGGCAGTTTCCCCTGCAGGAAAGATGTGATCATAGTGAGTGCTCTTGCTGGTTGGTAGCTTGGAACCATGTGTCCAGCTCCTCGAACTGTGGTGAAAACCACACCGTTGTAGCCAACGACATATCCTCCAACCTGCCACCATTAGACATGGAATATGTATAAAATTAAAAGGTTTTGGCCTTGGATTCATCAAATGGCAGGAAAAGTTACTATTACCTCACTCTCAGAGTACCATGACTGCCAAGCAGTCTCTACCGGAAGCTGTAGGGTCTTGATGGCATACCTAGAGGATGTCACTGGAACTCGGCCATCTGTATCGCCGCTGCCAGTAGCAGGTTTTAATTAAAAAAACAGTACGTACATCTTATCAGTAAATCAGTTTTTTTCCCTTTGTAGTGTTAAAGTATTATTGAGTACCTTATGCGGGCTTTCAGTCTATACCTGTATATCCACACCCTAATCACTTTCGCCAAGTGCCGTATTTCAGGAAGGGTAGACTTTGGGCTGTCTGTCCATCCAACACCACTGAAATGGTACACAAGCAGACTGGTCAGAGTATCTGTTTCATCCTCTAAAGGTTTTTTTTGACTTGGTATAAATATTTTTCTTCCAATGAGAACAAAATCATTTGACGGCAAATTAGTGGAATATTTTGCAAATGCCTTTGAAAGGAATAAACTGTGGTCTTGCTTACCTGCATCCTGTCCATTTTGTAGCTTTGGCATGGAGGGCTGCTTGTACCGTGGCAAGATTTAGGTAGGACTCAACGTGAGTGTCAGAGCAGGGATCAAAATTCAAGACCTAATAATTCAACCCCATCAGAGAATTAGGTAGGTCCCTTTCTTAAGGAGCATTTCCTTTGAGAAAAAAAATCTTTGTTTCTGATATTATACAAGTTTGAATTGAACCTATAGGACAAATGGATAAAAAATACTGTTTCCTACTCATTTCTTCATTGTCTTGGTAAAATACTTGTTATGAATCACGATGATGCTCACATTACCATCTGAGCCAGGTTTTATTGCTGATAAGTTGCATATTGGGGCGTAAATGCCATACAAGTCAATGTCTCCCATCTCTGTTGTTCCCTGACTTTGATACTTATTACATTGATCAGTAGTGGTGTCTGCATCTGCCTTCTTGGTAACTAGATCTTCACTAGCAAAGTTGCAGTACTTGTTAATTCCTTCATTGGTTTCATCAGAGTTAAGAGCGTGTGTCCATAAATAATCGAACAGTCCCTTTGTACAAATGTCATCATCTATCCAGGCATTTCCTATCTGCAACATACGGCCATTAAAATTCTCGGGGTTAGGCCCTGTAGGTTTGCTGATTTATCAATACATATAGGTAAGGTTCATGGCTGTAAAAAGGTGATTTTTTTTGTTTGTAAACTCACAGCAATTCCTTTGAGATTGATGATGGTTCGATATGTGCTCTTGTTTCTCGAGAGAATATAAGAAGCAAGCTGAGGAACATAATGACCAGCATAGCTCTCACCTGTTATAAAGAGATCTCGCGTTTTATACTGTGGAAATCTTTCAAGCCAGCTGAGGAGGAAAACATAGGAGTCCTCTGCTGTTCTCTTGTCACCAACGACGGTATAGTCGGAGGAATTTTTTGAATAAGAAAACCCAACCCCTGCTGGTGATTCTAGGAATAACACGTTTGCAACTGCAAATTTTGAAGGATGTTTCAGTAAAATATCCAGGTGAATTTGAGATTGTGACGATGTCAAACCTAAAAAAGAGATTTCATGTACCATTGCTCCATGCATATTCATTTTTGTACAGCGTTTTCCCGTCACTGTTTACTCTGAAAGGTCCAAGCTCTTGCATGGCTCCATATCCGAAAGACGAGCATCCTGGACCTGTACAAAAATTCAACCATTTTCTTAGTTAATGTCTAAACTCTATAATGCTATAAATTAGATTTTGCCTGGGCATATTGATGATGATACATATCTCCATTTGTAACCGTGTTGAATATGAATGAGTATTTAAGTTGTCCCGGTCTAATATGTAAAGAGTATTTTTATAGTTATCATGTATGATTTATTGAGTGATTAAGTTATATCAAATATTTTTATTATTATTATGTAAAGTATATATAAAAAGAAAGGTTTAGGCTTCAGCTGGAAAGAATATTAACCAGAGATCATCTACATTTTAGCTGTTTCAAATTTCACCAATTCTCGAAGGGCAAATCTTATCGAGTTTCTTAAGCTGAAGAATGAAGCACGTGCCACTCTTTGATTTTCTTTTTTCTTTTAGTTTTTGACAGTTAGATAAGTATTTATTCAATGAAGCCGTCTAGGTACAAATACCAACAGACCATCCAAAAACGTGGTAAGGATATATATTCAATTAGTGGTGGGAGCCCACTGAATTGTGTAGTGATACTTTTTTAATGATTAAGCTTGGGGATAACGACAATTATTAGCTGGTTTCGCTAGTGGGAAATAATTTGCTAATTGTTTGAAAACGACTCGGATGGGATATTATTGTTTCATGGCAATGGAAGACATTACTTCTATCCTGAAATAATCAACCATGGACTGATTTGTGTGCATGAACATATATGAGCACCATGTGATACGGTAAAGAAGAGATTCAACGACATATTCAGGTACGATTTAATATGATATTTTCTATGACCATGCAAAACAAACGTAAAAATATATCTGTGGATGTAGAATCGCTAGTTATAGATGAATATGAGCAATTAAATTACCTCCATTTAGCCATAAAACGAGAGGCTTATTCAGAGAATTCACCGGTGATTCCACAAAATAATAGAACAATGCTCGATCAGTCACCGGATCTATTGATACATAGCCCGCGTAATGATAAAAATCTACCCCTTCAGGCTGACCTGGCATTTTGTCGATTTTGTCGGCTTGCATCGAACCTTTTTGAGATCCTACATACACCGGAGAGTCGTGACTATTTCCAGCATCATCCAGCCGAGCCCACAACTCAGGCCGAGGGGCGTTCGAGGATCTGCGAGATGCAATCAACCTGTTGAGATTCTCAATCTGGTTTCCCATGCATGATGAAATGGGGTAACCAGGGAAGTAGAGAGGCAATAGCAGCAGCAGCCATATTACAGTACCTTTCATCGCTGATAATGTAAATTCAGTGCAGAGTTTATTGCCTCTGAACTGAAGAGCTTATGCCAACTTCTAGTGGTACACAAGTATATATATATATATATATATATGGAAAACAATGATCGTATATTTGAAGTTCCTGTACTCCATTTTGTTGGCAAGTGGCAATCTATTGGGGCTGACTTTGATACCGCCAGTTAGGGATGAATTTTAATCCACTTTTGGGATTGGAGATATCCTTTTTACCTCTTGTATTCTAGTACTTAACCTCGTAGAATGGCTGCAATTTGATCAGAGGATGAGTGCGTTTCTCAACACCAATCACGACCCCAGTAAATGCTAATTGCATAATTGGTCCCTAGAATTATGGTATCCGATCTTTCCCGAAATTGAGGAGTGCAATGTATTGCTATTCTTTTTTTCTTCAAAGCGATGTATTGCTTACATTTTTCTTGACTTAACCACTTTTCACATGGCAACCTGTCATCATACTTTTCTGTATTGTTTATGGGATATATGTGTTGCATGTTTCAGGTGCAGCAATTATTAATTAAACATGAGTATAAAGAAAGCACTTAATTTTGATTCTGATTCTTGTTTCCGTTAGTGGGTATCAAATCGGATTCAAGTGTGGAAGATCGGTTGAGATTCAGCTGCTGACTAACACGTGCTGTGGAGCCACCCCAGATTCCATTTCCATTAATATCCTTAATTATTGGGAACACTGTGTAATGGTATGCAAGGAGAATAGGAACTGAAGACTGAAACTGTGAGATACATCAGAGAATAGAAACTGATGAATTGCATGATGGAGCAGAGCCTATAATAGACTCGTAGGGAGTATATTTTGCCAGCAGCAACTCCATGACCAACTTGAGTGATTAACTGATTATCACAAAATTTGTGAACCAAAAATCATCCTGAAACGTATTACTAAAACAATTCGTTTCAACTAGAACTACAACTCTTTCTAGATTGATTACAGTTTGATTGGTGCACACCTGTAACCCTGAAATCTATTTCGGTAAGAGAACCCCACACGGCAGGAGTTTCTAAGAAGATAAGGCTTGGCATGGCATGTGAAATAAAACGGGCAAATTAGCGTTCTCCATGTGTAGCCTGTAAGGTTTAGGCCATCCTTTGTGACTCTGAATGGGCCTCGTTTCATGAGAACTCTTATTTCCGATTGAAGAACAAGCAGGACTATACGATGTTATCTTTTTATCGAAAGGAAGGTTAGAAAAACTGTCGATGGATTAGTGTGCCCGTTCTCAAGTCTTTTTCATAATCCTTATCGATCAAAGGTACACGCATTTCAACATCACCTGCCACTGAAAGAGAGGCTTCGGCACAAGCCTCCAAAATTAAAAAGCTTTTGTAAAAGGAAAGACTTTACTTCAGCTTTTGAACCTCCAAGCTAATTCGCTTTCGATAACCACACTTCAGTTGATGATACAATTAGAATGATCATTTGTTTTCTAAATGCAAGCAGCAATGAACTCCAACACAAAACAAAAAACATCCTAGAAAGTGCTCGTCTCTTGTATTCAATGGAAAGATTACATCCAATGCTTCAATATTAAGCAAAACCATCCAAGATAGATCCCTCAAAGAAGTTGGAAAAATGCAGATGTTAACCAATATTCTATCAAATGATAAAGGGTTCATCTCAGTTTCTTCTATGGGGAAACTTTCTCCTTTAATCTTTCTGTTACCTTTTCTTTCTTTCTCATAGGCTAGGACCACCATTAATGGAGAAAATAGTCTCACCTTCCCTTTGAGATCTAAAAGAGTGGATCCAAATGTAAAAGCCTTTGCATCTGTGTTAACACATGATGCGCGTGTAGGCATGGATTTTTTAAGCCATAGATTTCTTGTCCTTTGATCAGAAGACAATCTTTAAAGGAAAGATAGTGATCAGATAGGCCAGCTGGATTTAGCTAACTTTCCCATTTTTTATGTGAGGTCCTAATGGGACATAAGTGACTATTGTTGTTTTTTTAATCAGAATGAAAATCATACCAGCCCGTTCCTCACTTCTGATTGCACAATGAATCACTTTCTTTTAACATCAGAATATCATCATTAAGCACTTAAGCTCCATGATTCTCTAATGCAGATTCGTGATTAGTGATTGCCACTTCAGATGATGAAATTACTGAAAACCAAAACAGGGACTCTGGCAAAAGTATTCATACTGAGCTGACTCGGAGCTCCAAAGCAAAGTGGGTTTTGATTCATGCTGCCATTTACTAATGATACTACCTTTTAGCATGCAACTGCTTTCCCCCTTTATCAGGATCTGGACTACTGCATAAAATCCATGGCTTGTCCGTTTTTCTATTTTGGCCTCACTTCCCCCACTTAAAACTGCAGAAACCCATTTACTTGAACTGTTGTTTAATTGTCAATCTACAATCATTTTATATGGGTTTTTCATTCCATTATATTCTCAAATGCTAACTTTTTTTTATATCCAGGGCTTGTTAGTGCAATGATCGTTGTTTTTATTGGAGTAAGTGATGCTTTTTAGCTGAGAAAAACATGTTAGAGTGAAGTTAAATTCAGAATAAAAGAAAAAGTGATATTGATTAAAGAAAAGGAAGATGACAGCTTTAGTGACAGGATACAATGATTTTAAAGGCATGAGAGTTGATGCATCCTTTCAATTCCATCATCACAAAATACAAGTCCCGGATGTGCATGGGTGGATTTAGACCAATCCGACTAGATTTAAAAATTTTACATCCATCACCCGATCTGATTCGATTAGAAAAATATATTTCCTTTACCCGACTCGAATCCGACCCAATTTTTTTAGATAAAATCCGAATCCGATCTCACCCGACCTAAAATAATAAAAAATGTTATTTTTATTCAATAAAAACAGTGATTTAATTGAGAAAAAATAATATATAGAGATGTATTATTATAATTATTTCTAAATATATAAGGTGAAATTATATTTTTTTAGGGCCGGTCAGGTCGGGTATTTTTCACCCTAAATCTGAATCCGACCCGACCCGAACATCACATTTAAAAAATCCAATCCGACCCGACTCGAACCCGATTTTTTAAAAAACCAACCCAATCGGGTCGAGTTGGAACCTGTCGGGTTCGGGTCCGACGTCCATCCCTACACATAATGTGTATAAAATCTGCAGTTTTAAGAAGACAGGACTTGTGTGTATAAAGGCACTAAGGCAAATGTTTCAGTGGGGGGCAAGGTCCTTTCATTTTGAGTTTATGGTATTCGTCGGTGTTCATATGAATATGAATTTCAATATAATGTAAGTATATCAAATTTTATGTAATATGTTCGGATACATAATAAATATCTAGAGAAGAAAAATAAAAAAATCTGAATTCGAATAATTACGTTACAAACGGAAAATAATAAATAAAAAATGGTTAGTTACAGATTGATCCGAAGGTTTGGAGAAGAAGCCAATTGAAGCATGGCCCATGCAGATGGAGATCATCTCCAATCACGAGCGGCGTTCAACGCTCACCTGAGCTTACTTCTAAAAAAAAAATCAGCATCTGCTTCTGAATCAATTGCTTCCATCATTCTCTTGCATTCAGTTTCACAGCTACTTCACACTGTAGCTCCTTTTATATGGGTCGTACATTTTCTAGCACCGATGGGAATGTCTCAGGAAAGGCGGATTAATATACGGTTAATATACGGCGTTATCAGATACATTAAAAGATATTTAACAAATTTGGTTTAGCGCTACCGGAAATGTTGTCTAATAATAATGTAGTAGGTCTAAGTCATGAAGAAATATTAAAAAATTGTGCAACCGGCAAACTTAACTTGTCGGTTCGTGTCGATCCAAATTAAAAATGTGTCGATCCAAAACGATATAACAGGTAAAACTATGACAAAACCAGTATTGAAATGATAAAACCGGTAAAGCGCTACCGGATACATTTAAAGTGTCGGTACTTTAATATAAGGATCGACACTTCGTGAATTTAAAAGAGAAGCAGTTTTAAGTCCTATAAAGTGTCGATACTTTTAAAAAATGTATCGATCCAAAAACGATATACCAGGTAAAAATATGATAAAACCGGTAAGAAAATGATAAAACCGGTAAAACGTTACCGGATATATTGAAAGTGTCGATACTTTATATAAGGAAGGATCGACCTTTGTGAATTTAAAAGAGAAGTAGTTTTAGCGCCTATATGTGTCGATACTTAAAAAAAATATCGATCCACAACGATATAACAGGTAAAAATATGATAAAACAGGTATCAAAATGATAAAACCGGTAAAATGATACCGGATATTGAAAGTGTCGATACTTTCGTAAGTACGTGTAATAAATTATCGACACTTTCAAAGAAATAGGTAATTACCTTTCGAAAGTATCGACACCTGACATAAAAGTATCGACACTTTTGTATTTGTATTGATTAAATAAATAACATATCTGATGAAAATATAAGCTAATATCCTTTGAAAATAGATAGAACGGACGATTTTTTGAAATCGAAGCGTAATTGTTGCTGCATTTCAGAAGGCGTTTCTAAAGCGAAGTTTTTGTTTGTTGCTGCGTCGAATCGAAAGTATGTGTCGAAACCCTAATTTTTTATTATTACAGTAATCGTGATAGGGTTTTTATGTGTTTTTTGGGGTTTTGGAGTAAAGAAGCATTTGAGACCGATTGCAGGTAGAAAGTGATATTCAAGGAAAAATATAATATCGAACTTTATTAAATATTATAAGTAGAAAATGATATTATAAGTTGTATAAATGTGCCGACACATTGGTGTGGCCATTTAATTCTTTTGAAGAAAACCGTTTTACCACAAGAGTAGTATTATTTGTATATTGAATAAAGTGTATGTAACAAAATAATTTGATTTGCGTAAACTGATATATGAAGGAAAAATGGAGTCAATGGGTTGGAAAATTGTTGGTGGAGCAGATGACTTTGAAATTGAGGCTGATACTCGAAAGCAACCAAAGGGTGGATATATGTACTTCTAGTAAGTATCAATGTCTTTTTGTTATTATTGTTGAAATGGTAATGGGATTAAGTATCGATAAACTTTAAATTGATTACAAATTTTAAAT